GATTAAAAAAAAAAAAAAAGGAAAAAAAAGGCGGTAGCATAACGGAAACTCATAAATAAAGCCCTAAATCCCTGGGAAAAAAAAAAAAAAAAAAAAAAGCAGAAATAAGGAACAAAAAGTGGATACTGGTTATTTCAGAATTATTTTCCTTATAAGATTAAAAAAGAGGGAACTTTGCAATGCTGGCTCAGATAAACTGGGCCCTTCTGATTGGCTGCTCTGAATCTCCTGTTTAGGGGGTTTTGGGTTCTGTTTTTCATTTTTAATTTAAATTGGCCCTTTATAAAGTTCCGTTTGATTATGTGGGAATGCCTCTATTCTGGTTTGGTTTGGTCTGTTGGGGCCTGGTATAGGAGCTCAGTCCAAAACAATGGCTCTCCATACATTTTAACAGTAGAGGCACGGTGGCTCATGCCTGTAATCCCAGCACTTTGGGAGCCCGAGGGAGTGGATCACCTGAGGTCAGGAGTTCGAGACCAGCCTGACCAACATGGCAAAACCCCATCTCTACTAAAAATAAAAAATTAGCCAGGTGTGGTGGTACATGCCTATAATCCCAGTTACTCGGGAGGCTGAGGCAGGAGAATTGCTTGAACCCAGGAGGTGGAGGTTGCAGTGAGCCAAGATCGTACCATTGCACTACAGCCTGAGCAACAAGAGCAAAAACTCCATCTAAAAAAAAAAAAAATTTAACAGTAGCAATATTTCCTAATTAAAACTATCCACTATCATAGATTTATTCAATGATCCACAAATCTCACTTTGGAGACTGTCATTCCGGTGGGAAGGAGGAGGACTCTAAAATGAAATCAAAACCAAAAAATTTTAACTGTAAAGACCATAGGAATACAACTGATTCATGTGTGAGTTTCCCTGATTTCTCTTTGCTCTATTTCTACACAATCCATATCTCCAACCCCCATACAAGGAGACTTGTTTCCCAGCTCTTTCGGATGGGTTTCTTTGGAAAATGAGGAGAAAGAAACCAGGCCAGAATGGCTAAGGCCAGGGGAACTGGGCCTAGAAACTGAATTGATCTATAAAACAAAGACTCAAAAGGAAAGAGAGAGGAGAGAGAGGAAGAACAGCTGGAAGGTTGCCCTGACGGGGACTCGACGGGCTCCCAGAGGCGATGGTAGCCCCTGCAGCAGTCAGTGTGGGAGAACTGGGGAGCGCAGGAAGATTGGAGGAATATGGCTAGGAGTTTTGAACTGGATCTCTTGAGATTTTTCTTTGGATTGGAATTCGTTTTATGTATTTTTTATTTCATTTTGTTTTTTTAGAGACAGGGTCTTGCCCTGTCACCCAGTTTGGAGTACAGTGGTGCAATCCTAGCTCACTACAGCCTCAATCTCCTGAGCCCAGGGGATCCTCCCACGTCAGCCTCCTAAGTAGCTGGGACTACAGGCACGTGCCACCACATCCGCCTGGAATTCATTCCAAAATTACGTTTGGGCAGTGCTAGGTGAGTCTGGTGGGGCTGAGCTACATGAGACCCAGGATGATTAAGGTTACAAAAAAAATTTTCATAAGATATTATGACTGCCACAAAATCAGAGATAACTCAAAATGTCTAATAGTAGGGCATCAGCTAAACCATAATATATCCACATGATAGGGGAAAGCAGGACATTATGGGTTGATGGTGGTTTTGGAATAAGACAACTTGGTGTCTCACTCCCCATATTCTATGAGTTCTTTTACTCATCAGAAATATGTCAGCCTCAATTTCCTCATTTACACATGAAAAACAATTACATCTACATTGTAGGGTGGTTGAGAGGATTAAGTACAATAATATATGTATAAAATTCCTAATAGAGTGCATGACTCATTGTAGACACGGCAGCTGCTATTAGAAAACGCCATAGTGATGTTAAAAATAATATGTATGTGGGTTAAGTCACTACAAAAAAAGATATGCGCATAAAATTACCATGTTTGTACATTGACAAGGATGGAAAGGGCATTTAGAATAAATGAGGTTAGCTCATCTACTTTCCCGCTGCCCACAAAGAGAACCAGCTCAGGTTGCAGAATTAGTAATTTGAGATGAATATAAAAGAACATTAGGATTATAAAATACGGAAGAAATCTATAAAAGACAACATTAAAACACTGTCTCTAGAGATTAAAAAGATAATTACATTGGTTCCTCATTTATTTCTCTGATTACAATGGTCAGAGGTAATTTGTTTGGCTTTGATAGGTGTTCTTTGCCTCAAGGGATTTTCCTTTCTAATTGTGTTTGTTTAGGCTAATAGAAAACTAATTTACATTCCTTGAGCTCCTACCAACTGAAGACGACTGGGAGATGACTCAGAAGACTGCTGAATGGTAGGGGAAAATCCCTTTAGGATTTAGAAGGTGCTAGAAATAATCCAAAAAGTAGATAATCCATGGAAGAGTTAACTGGAATAGAAATTCAGTTCTCTCCCACAGCTCTTGTGTCACCTCTCAAGCAAAAATACCCCTAACCTAGTAGCCAGGGACCTCATGTATGAGATTGGGGGACAGTCAGGACAATTATTCTCCTATTCTAGCATTGCGCATGGTACCCTGCTTCACGATTCATTCCTGAAGGATGTCTTTTTATAAGGCTTTCTTGACTCAATATAGCTGTGCCCATCCTATTTTTAGAGTAGTTGTTACAAGGATTCTTGCTGCCGTTTCAGGAAGTGAGAAGGTTGCTGAAGTGATCAGGTTCCACCCACCTCACACCGAATGGCAAAAAGTGGGTGGGAGGGGGATACAGAGGGAGGCTTGCTTCTGTCGGCTTATTGGTTATATGATCTCTTCTGGCTGAGTTTCTGAGTCCTATTATCAAAAATTTAATTTCACAAAGTGTAAATATGTTTTTGTCTTAAAAGTTTCAAACAGGGCTGGGCGAGGTGGCTCACGCCTGTAGTCCCAGCACTTTGGGAGGCCAAGGCGGAAGGACTGCCTGAGCCCAGCAGTTCAAGACCAAGACTAGCCTGGGCAACATAGCGAGACCCTGTCTTTAAAAAAAAGCTGGCATATGCCCGTAGTCCCAGCTACTTAGGAAGCTGAGCTGATGGAAGTTGGGTGCGCCCAGGAGATGGAAGTTGCAGTGAACCAAGATCACACCACTGCACTCAACTCTTGGCTACTCTGTCTCCAAAAAAACAACAGAAAAAGAAGTTTCAAACAGGCACCAATGAAATAAAAAATGAAAAGCTTCTTTAACAACTGCTCCCCATCAAATCTCACTTCATCTCCCACAGATAACTATCGTTCAGAAGTTTGATGTTCATGCATTTCCTTTTTCTCAAAAAAAAAAACTGTTTTTGGAGACAAGGTCTTGCTATGTTGCCCAGGCTGGAGTGCAGTAGCTATTCACAGGCATGACCATAGCGCACAATAGCGTCAAGCTCCTGGGCTCAAGCACTTCTCCTGCTTTAGTCTCTGGATTAGTTGGGACTTGAGGTATGCACTGCCATGCCTGGGAGACGTTCATGCATTTCTATACATTCACACACACACATCTCCATCAACTTGGAAGCAGTGAAATAAATTACAGTATACTCATCCCAGGGAATACTATGTAGCAGTTTAAAAAATAAACAAAACGTAGCCACACAGGATGAATATGATATTTTCTATTTACTCAATTTACTATGGATACCATTACTACTGATACCTTTCCAATAGGAGAAAGAAACAGAAGAAAGAGAAGCAGTATCTTGGAACATGCTTTTTCATGTCTTTTCATGTTCTGAATGAATATTTCTCTAGTATATATAAATAGAGGCTCAAAGGGTCCATGCATTTAAAATTTTAATAGATTATGTCAAATTATCTTTAAAAGGTCTTTGCCATTTTACATTCCCTCCAAGTGACTTTATTTGTATTTGTATTTGTATTTTTTTAAAGACGGGGTTTCACCATGTTGGTCAGGCTGGTCCTGAACTCCCGACCTCAGGTGATCTGCCCGCCTTGGTCTCCAGAGTGCTTGGATTACAGGCGTGAGCCACCATGCCCGGCCTCCAAGTGACCTTAAAAGTATCTTCCTGCTTCCCAGTGAATTCTTCCTTATAGGGGATATTATCCAGCTCTTCCATTTTTGCCGTATTAGGCAAGAGAGGGGAGAGAGACTTGGGAATTTCATTTTTTCATTTGCATTTCTCTGATTTTGGTGAAATTGAGTATATTTTATACGCTTACTGTTCATTTTAAAAATATTCCTTATTCTTATATTAGCCCATTATTCTGCAGGGATATTTGTATTTTTCTTACGGACTTATAGGAAGAAATATATAGGACTTTATATATCCTAGATAGTTATCATTTTTCTATCATGCAATTTGCAAAATAGTTTTCCTTGTTTCTCTTTTGAATTCTAACTCTGATTATGGCTGTTTCCAGCAAGTTAAAAGTGATGCCACCTACTTTATTAAGATGTGTTATTATATTATTATTTCTATTAGCAACAGAGCAGAAGCGGAGAGAAAAATCGAAGATTCTTTCTCTTTTCACTTCTCCTGTGGTGTTTTCTCTCAGTTTGGGAGGCAATCGCCTTTATTTATTTATTTACTTGTGATGGAGTTTCTCTCTTGTTACCCAGGCTGGAGTGCAATGGCGCAATCTTGGCTCACTGCAACCTCCGACTCCCGGGTTCAAGCACTTCTCTTGCCTTAGACTCCTGAGTAGCTGGGATTACAGGTGCACTACCATGCCTAGCTAATTTTTGTATTTTTAGTAGAGACAGAGTTTCACCACTTTGGCCAGGCTGGTCTCAAACTCCTGACCTCGGGTGATCCACCTGCCTTGGCTTCCCAAAGTGCTGGGATTACAGACGTGAGTCACCGCGCCTGGCCGCAATCGCCTTTTCTAACAGGGATTGAAGGGCAGAAAATATTTGAAAGAAAAGGGATTAAGTAGTAGCACGAAACAGCAAAGTAGAAGAGCTTTTTCATTTCTCTTAATTATTTGTTTTGTATTGTACAGAACATTAGACAGAACCATGTGCAAATGAACAAAATTGCCAAATTCTATGGCCAAATATAAAAATACTTCCAGACTCTCACTGAACATAGTTCACATTACATTGTATCTCTCACTGTCTAGATTTTTTTTTTAATGACTTCACTTCTAATACTAGATTAAACTTTAAAGCTAAGACAGTACTTGATGCCTACAGTGAAAATCCCAAGTAATGCTAAGTAAAAACACTGGTATCTTTATTCCCCTCCCCCCCTCCCCTCCCCTCCCCTCCCCCTTTCTCTCTTTTAATTCTTGCATTTCTTATGTTATCTTCTTGTCCATGAAACACAAACAAAAAAAAATCTACAAATTAACATGGAGGCACAAATGTAAATAAAGATAAATTCGAAATATCTCCCTTAAGCCCAGTTCATTTGGGTTTTGAAGGGGTACATAGGCTACCATGCGACATCGTGATGCTAAGGAATAAGTTTGTCTAGGTAAAGGAGAAAAACAGCATTACTTACTGATTTAGAAAGTATCTGTTAATGCCTGATAAGCATCAAGGAATGTACAATGAAAAAACAGGATAGAAGCCAGCCCTGCCTTCACAGATTATTCTCTTGAAGAAAAGAGAGAATCTCAAAAAAAAAAAAAAAAAAAAAAAAAAAAAAAAAAAAAAAAAAAAAGGTCCAGAGATGGATATTTTGATCATCACCCAGGGATGGCCATTGAGACTTTGTGTCCCTCCTTTTGAGGAACTGATAAGAAAGTCCTAGTTTTTGATGAAGGATAGTTGTGTCTTGTTAAGTAAAAACACAAAGTTGTTGACGGTTCTTGTATGGAAGTTTCAGGATCTATATAAGGGTATATACAAATGCTGAGTAGCCAAATAGGTGAACTGTGCTGGTTACTGAGCTACTGTCCCGCAGATCCAAACTCATCTTTCCATTTTGGGGTTTGTTTGTTTTGAGACATGGTCTTGCCTAGGCTGTGGCGCACAGTGCCACAGCTCCCTACAGCCTTGAACTCCTGGGCTCAAGCAATCCTCCTGCCTCACACATCCCAAGAAGGTGGGACTACAGGCATGCACCACCACAAATGGCTAATTTTTTAAATTATTATTTTTGTAGAGATGGGGTCTTGCTATATTGTCCAGGCTAGTCTCAAACTCCGTGGCCTCAAGCTCTCCTCCTGCCTCAGCCTCCCAAAGTACTGGAATTACAGCTGTGAGCCATTGCACCTGGCCCAAATCCACCTTTCTATGCTCTACTTTGTGAGCATAGAAGGCAGAATCTCTGGGGCCAGGCACAGTGGCTCACACCTGTAATCCCAACACTTTGGGAGGTTGAGGTGGGTGGATCACCTGAGGTAAAGAGTCTGAGAGCAGCCTGGCCAACATGGTGAAACCCTGTCTCTAACAAAAAAAAAAAAAAAAAAAAAAAACCCCTCCCCAAAAAAAAAAAAAAAAAAAAAGGCAGGAAGGATCTCTATCACCATATTTCTCCTTTGACAGCTGGCTCCCTGATACATGCTGCCAATGAGGAGGAAGGTGCTAGAGGGAAACTGAGGAAGGAGAAACTTACTCCTATTTGGTTGCTGTTCCAGTCAGGCTCACCTAACTCTTCACCCTGATAGTAGTCATTAATTCCAAGGTCCAGCTTTTCTTTTTCATACACCCAGAACCATGCTTCATCCGCTGTATCAGAACCAGCTGGCTATGATGTCATCTACTGTATTCCATAGAAATGTGGGTTCCCTATAGGGCTGAAGGTCTTCCCTCTGAGCTCCTTAGTGCCAGGAAAGCTGGTGGTGCTAATTCCCACAGTTCAATCTCCCTGGAACCTCAGCATTCCCTTGTCTCTTCTATTCTTCAGTATTTGCTTAACCAATCCTTTTCATTTACTTATATCTGTTAAAATAAGATATGATTTCTGTTTTCCTGACCAAATCCTAACTGATAACTGCAGAAAGCCCCTGTCACGCTTCTCAGGAAATGAGGAAGCACTCCTTTAAATCCAAGCTGAATTCTTGGGGCTCTGTGGTAATGCTACAAACTGAATGTTTATGTCACCCCCAAATTCATGTTGAAATCTCAACCCCCAGTGTGATGGGATTAGGAGGTGGGCCTTTGCGAAGCAATTAGGTCATGTGTCATCCTTATAAAGGAGACCCCAGATAACTCATTCCCCTTCTTCTGCCATGTGAGGCCACAGTGAGGAGGTTGCTGTCTATGAAGAGAGGCCTCAGCAGACACGGAATCTGCCAGCACCTTGATCTTGAGCTTCCTAAGCCTCTGGAGCTGTGAAAAATAAATGTCTGGGTTTTTTTTCTTTCCACCTAAGTTGAGTAAAAAATGTCTGTTATTTATAAGCCACCCAGTTTGAATTTTTTTTGAGACGGAGTCTCACTCTGTCACCAGGCTACAGTACAGCGGTGCAATCTTGGCTCACTGCAACCTCCGCCTCCTGGGTCCAAGCAATTCTCCTGCCTCAGCCTCCCAAGTAGCTGGGACTACAGGCGCGTGCCGCCATGCCCAGCTAATTTTTCTATTTTTAGTAGAGATGGGGTTTCACCATGTTGGCTGGGATGGTCTTGATCTCTTAACCTTGTGATCCGCCCGCCTTGGCCTCCCAAAGTGCTGGGATTATAGGTGTGCGCCACTGCTCGCAGCCCAGCCTGATTTTTTAATAGCAGCCTGAAAGATGAAAACAGAAAACATAACATAATGCAAAAACAGTATATTTAAAATGTTTACCCATTTTCCAAGCAGGGCTCTTCTTTCTTCAAATACCTACAATAAGGAAAAAAAATATGGTAATTTCATATATCTTATAATACCCATTACAAGAAAGACATCATTACAGGATCTGTAAATAAACCTTCATTTTAACAACTGAATATAAAAAGACAGATTTCACTCCTGAGGTTATGTATTTTTACCCTGGACAAGGTTTCCCTTTTTTTTTCTTTCAGTTTCTACACGTGGAATAATTCACATGAAAGAGGTAATAACGCTGGGTGCAGTGGCTCACGCCTGGAATCCCAGCACTTTGGGAGGCTGAGGCAGCTGATCATTTGAGCTCGGGAGTTTGAGAGCAGCCTGGGAAACATGGCAGGACTCCATTTCTACAAAAATTAGCTGGGCATGGTGGTATGTCCCTATAGTCCCAGCTGAGGCTAAAGTGGGAGGATCGCTTGAAACCAGGAAGTTGAGACTGTAGTGAGCTATGATCACGTCACTACTTCTAACCTGCAAGACAGACCCAGATCCTGTCTCAGAAAAAGGAAGGGGAAGGGGAGGGGTCATTTTTTTAAAGGGAAATAAATTTTAAAAATGGAATTACAGCCAGGCGTGGTGGCTCACACCTGTAATCCCACAACGCTCGAAGGCCGAGGCAGACAGATCACCTGAGGTCAGGAGTTTTGAGACCAGCTTGATCAATATGGAGAGATCCCATCTCTACTGAAAATATAAAATTAGCTGGGCATGGTGGCGCAAGCCTGTAATCCCAGCTACTCAGGAGGCTGAAGCAGGAGAATCGCTTGAACTCAGGAGACGGAGGTTGCAGTGAGCCAAGATCGTGCCATTGCACAGTAGCCTGGGCAACAAGAGTGAAACTCCATCTCAAAAAATAAGTAAATAAACAAAATAAAAATAAATAAAAATTGAATTATAAAGAGAAATCAATTTTAGAATTTGAAAGATGAAAAAAACAAAAAAACAGGAATATGAAGCTCCCCCATCTGAAATGTTTCAATATTAATGATATAAGAATTTACAAAATAGATGAATGATCAATGCTGTTTTTATTTATTTTTTTCTCTTTTTGAGATGGAGTCTCGCTCTGTTGCCCAGGCTAGAGTACAGTGGTATGATCTCAGCTTGCTGCAATCTCCACCTCCTGGGTTCAAGTGATTCTTCTGCCTCAGCCTCCTGAGTAACTGGGATCACAGGCGTGTGCTACCACACCCAGCTAAGTTTTGTATTTTTAGTAGAGACAGGTTTTCACCATGTTGGCCAGGCTGGTTTCAAACACCTGACCTCAGGTGATCCGCCTGCCTTGGCCTCACAAAGTGCCAGGATTACAGGCATGAGCCACCAAGCCTGGCCCAGTTCTGTTTTTCTGTTTCAGTGTGTATACATATCAGTGGGCACACAAGTACGTACATGTCTGTAGGATTAGAAATGTGTGCGTGTATGCCTCTGGGGTTTCACTTGAATATTTATTGGTATAGGTTTATTTATTTTATTTTATTTGTTATTTTCTATTTCTTTTTTCTTTTTCTGGGTACAGGTTTATTATGACATGCTATTTGGGACAGCAAGTAAGCCTTATTCATCTTGGCATTTCCAGAAGAGTGCTTACAGAGCATGTTACAGGTATCTATGTTTACTGAATTGAATGAATGTGATTGTGAGAATGAAAATCCTTATGGATGTGTCAGTACAATGTGAGTATCTTTATATATTGGAGTCAAGGTACTTTTCTGAGCATCAGCGCATATGTATATTTCAGTGAGGAAAGGCAGACTAATGTGGGTATTAAGGGAGGAGGAGAAAGAGCATATGTGAATGTCTTACTTGCTTTATCCCATACTCCCTCCGTCAGCTTTCAAAATCGGGATGGATGTTTCTCCCTTCCTCTTGGCACTTGCTACCTTCTCTAGTGCTGCAAGAATGTTCTCACTTGGAGAGGTGGCTCAGACCTATTTCTTCTCTTTTCATGGAGGAGGCTGAGGAGCTGGTTTTATGCTTCCCACAGATCATGCTTTCCTTCCTTTTTTAACTCTCAAGCTCTGGTTGCCAAGGACATATGAAATAGGAATTGAAATAATTGGTTCAATCTCCACCTTGGGACCAGTGAAAGGTCAGTTTTGCTCTTGGCCAGGGAATCTCTTCAGTCACAGACAGACACTTTTTGCACATAAGAGAAGATGAAAAAGACCCTTCCCCCAACTAACTGCCACCTGGGCTACGAGGACCCTCAAATAATGGCAATGGATAAACTCAGAATTTCTAGATGAAAAAAAGTAGAAGAGAATCTGTAGAACCCAGAAGATTCAAAATAACTGGATTCAAATATTGTCTGAATTCTCTATCAGTCATGCATCGCCCAACCCAAGCAACCAGAGCTGTTTCTTTTCTGATGCCCGGGGATTTCTGCCTCCCAACTCCTACTCCATTTATAGTTCATGCTTCACTTAGACTCTATAGTGTTTGTTTTGCTCTCTAGAGGTTTCTGTTAATTTTATCTTCCCAAGTAGATCACAACCACTTTCTCTTACATGTTCCACAGAATCCTCAAGTACAGAGTCCATGGAAGACTCTCAACAAACCATTTTGCTGAATGACTACTAACAACAACAAGAAAGCTTCAGAAGTCATAGAATTTTAGAGCTGAAATGAATCCTAAAGGTCTTTTTGTTCGATTCCTATACTTTAGAGAGGCCCAAAAAGGTTAGATAGTTTAAAAATCGCTTGGTCTAGGTTGCACGTGGTGGCTCACGCCTACAATCCCAGAACTTTGGGAGGCCAAGGCGCGTGGATCGTGAGGTCAGCAGATCGAGACCATCCTGGCTAACACGATGAAACCGTGTCTCTACTAAAACTACAAAAAGTTAGCCAGGGGTACTGGTGTGCGCCTATAATCCCAGCTACTTGGGAGACTGCGGCAGGAGAATCACTTGAACCCAGGAGGCGGGGTTGCAGTGAGCTGAGATTGCACCACTACACTCCAGTCAGGGCGACAGAGTGAGACTCTGTCTCAAAAAAATAAAAAAATAGGCTGGGCAAGGTGGCTCACGCCTATAATCCAAGCACTTTGGCAGGCCGAGGCAGGTGCATCACAAGGTCAAGAGATCGAGACCATCCTGGTCAACATGGTGAAGCCCATCTCTACTAAAAATACAAAAATTATCTGGGCACGGTGGTACATGCCTATAGTCCCAGCTACTCAGGAGGCTGAGGCAGGAGAAATGTTTGAACCCAGGAGGCAGAGGTTGTGGTGAGCCAAGATCACGCCACTGCACTCCAGCCTGGGTGACAAGAGCGAAAGTCCATCTAAAAAAAA